CATTTTCCAATGATAATTTTTAACTATTACCGCGCCATGTTGTCAGTTTGATGAACTCAAGAGGCTTCTCGTCATGTTGCTCTTCGACAACACTTGCGCTATTCTCTTACGAGAAACTTGGAAGACGAACCATGAGAGAATGTCAATTAGGAAGATTTCGTTTGGTACCGCCTTGATCATCCGGGGAAAGCTATTTCGTGGTAGTGGTGGTGATAAAGTGGATTAACTTTATCCGGTGTGTAAACTGTTCAAAGAATTTATATTCTACGAAAGTGATTTTATCTCTCGCAGGTGCCGAACTGAAGCCTAGTGAATGTCATTGTTGTCGTTGTCAATGTTGTTATTAAATATTCTTATCAACTCATCTTTTATGTAAATCAGGCACAAGAGGCTCTAATTAAGAATCTTACTCTAAGGGTTGAATAAACTATTTTCATTTATTCACAACGAGTGCTTAATTGTGTATCACGCCGTCTACTTTCCAAAGAGCGGATAACGTATAGAAAAAACTAAAGGCTTGCACGAGATCAGACCATCTCATGTCATTTTCTGTATAAAATAGCTCACAACATTCTTTTTATTCAACGAAAGTGAAGCAGCATCTTTATGACAGTTTTTCATCAACTTGCCTCTTCAAAACCGAGATATTTCGTCAACGTTACCATCAAAACAGTCAGAATTCCGTAACTGATTGGAATCAAGCATTTAACACTGAAAAAAGTCAGTGATCAACGACGCACAAAATAAACCGGAAGTAAACAGCATCCTAAGCGAACAACAGTGGCAGGGCAGACGCAATGATGTGATAGTAGTGAATTTGCATTTCCATTGCCCAGTCTGTTGACTCTAGTTAAGGAAAGCTGTTAGTTAACCGTTGCATTTTGTGTACTGATACATTATTAATCAAGTATCGTCTTAAAATCTCTTTTCTTTTCACTACTGTCATATTTCAAATACAAGAAAAGAGATATTATTGTACTTGGTGCAAAACCGCCAGTTTATAAGATGTTAGTGAAAGATAAATAAGTTAACCATCATCGACGCTAATGTTTTCATATGCTGTTCAAAGATAGGAAGCGCGAGAAAATGATTTCACTGATTTTCTAGTGTTTTGTTCCACTCTGTCGTCAAAGTGCTCTTCTTTTACACAAGGCTGCCTCAAGAAGCTTCTTTAAAAAATGTTTGCATAGCCTCATTTGTCGATCGTCTCAGCAGAGGTCTTCACGGATGTCACACTGGATCCATGGCTGTCGCGACATGAACCCGGAATTCAGATGATGGAAAACAGTTAAGATTAACGACGACCAAATGATAGTGACGAATATTTCGTTATGAGAGATGGCGTTATCTTGTACACGTTTAAACAGCGTTATTAGACTACGATCCCATATTTCAAACATTCAGATCTCGAAGCCCCGTTTCACCAGATATTCTCAGTTATTCAGGTTTCCAGCGTAGATGCCGTCATTAAGAGAGCAAATGCGCTGAAAGCATTTATGCTTTTAATGAGAAATAGTAGGGACCGTAGCTCATCGTCCTTTCATCTTGATCTGCAATGTAATTGTCTTTCTCTTCACTGAGAAAAACTCTGATTAGATGAAGCATCACAGAGCCGTCAGCTAAGAATATACTTCCGGTAAACAGAAGTTGTTCCTTCCAAGCCTCCAGGCAAGCAAGGCCTGTAGTCAGTTCTCCTGCAGAGAGATGAAATTTGCACTTGAAGATCAAGTGGAGATGATCAGTTCTATACGGTGTCATTTCCTTCGCCTGCCAATAAAATCACAAGTTAAATTGGATAGGGCAGATGTAAAACAAAAAAATACACAACAAGAGTATACGGAAATGGACAAAATAAGACTTTTATGAAAGAAGCCAAATTACAATCTTTGAAATGGTGACCCAATCGTCTGTTTAATTCGCTGATATTAAAACAATGCCTTTTTTGTTTAAGAGCAAATGTTCTTTTCAGTACACTGCAGGAAAACATTTAAGGTTTGATCCAAACCGCTAAAAAAATTGTTCAGTAAAGCCACTAAGCATGGTATCCCATCAGTTATTTTAATATTGACTCATATGTTTGTGGTAAGGTGAAAAGAGGTGAACATTTTTGAAAAAGGAACATGCTAGCTGTTGATCATGTGACACTAAAATTTACGCTGAGTTCTGCAATTCATAATATCCTAGCTTCTTTAAAACATAGAAGTTGCATTTATCAAAGATATAACGCTAAGTAAAAAGATTTAGTCGATTAAGCAACTCTGAGCAACAAGCTTACGTTTCGGCTTTTAACTCTTAACATCAGTCAGAGTTGCAATTTTGATGCAAAAAGCCAAACAGCGCAGGATCAAAGATAATCGCGAGTGGTCGGGGCCCCTGTGGTTTAACGCAGCTTGCGTTTGAATGCACGTCGCTCCTCCAGTGGCAGTCAAATAGCAATTTAACTGGCTGCGCATTGCAATGAGTTCTATGCTTTCTCTTCGTCACTCTCATATGGGTCGCATTGCTGTCTACCTGCATTACGAAAGCGCCGAAGGTTTTAAAGAATTGATGCAATAACCTCTCTTATCATTTCCAGTTCATTTGATAACGATGAACATCATTCATTTCTGAATTATCTGACAATCTTCAGACGCCAGCGTTTTATCATGGTTTCTGATCATGGAATGGATTCATTGTTAAGAAAAACAGTAACCCTTAATTATAACAAATTTTGTAATGAAACGCTAACTTTCAAAGAGAGCAATATTAACCGAATTCACTCCAATTTATTTGAAAGTGAAAAAGTA